CATCAGCTACAATCGTGACGGTCACGGTATATGTCTCTCGAGGGGAAGGGGGCCGCCGATTCGAAATACGTCACGTGACAATATGGCCTAAGCTGCAGGTCGTCCGTAACGTACCACGTACTGCAAGATCGTCATGAATGATCGGATAAATGGGCCTAGCTAAGTTAACAATGATTCACTTTAATTGTGTCCGACGTTGAGAATAACTTTGCAGGACTTGAGGGATCGATCTCACGGCGATCTGGGGATGAGCCGGGATGGGATGCCGCTTGGACTTTCGGACGTCAGGCTTTATTGGTCGAAGCGGTTCAATCTTCATTTGTTTGTGCCAAGCCTGAATTTGGTTGACTTGGTAAAGTAACCCTACTCAATGTACCAGATTAGCTGTAACTAAGATCGGCCATCGGGTAAGTGGCAAAATCTATCTATTCGGACAGGTCACTGATGAGTTATGGGCAATCGCAACCTGTCCGGTCTGCTTTGCGATCTATGACAGTTCAATAAAGCAGCAACAGGCTTACTGTCTCTCTCTCATACTATCCAAACCTACCAGATATTGAAGTGGACTCATGACAACAGATTCAAGCATGTTCTATGAGGTCCATTGAGGGCACTCCTTATGCAGCCGGTGCTTGCTTGGCAGTATGCAAAGCTTTGCATCTAGCCCACTGTCTGATCTCGAATAAATGATGTAGAATTACTTACATTCCTATCTCGACTAACTGAAGGCTGCACTTTGCGCTAATAAGTATCAGTCCTTTTGCTTTGTGAGGCCGAGCCAATGTGTGCGCAATGCACAGTCTTACTCGGGGAGTCGAGATCCAAAAATGTGATCCCACAGGGTGCTTGTGATGCCGAATCCGCTTTCTGTAAACTTAAAGTGATGTTTCATGTGATTACGCTGCAAACACGAGTTCCAAATCAGATGCGGCCCGCACAACTGCTGCACCTGCAAACCGGGCGGTTCACGTACAGTCTGCATAGACAGCTCAAGCGCCAAATCCATGTGAGGCAACTTACAGCACCTTACAGCAGACGTGCACAATTGTGGCTGTCAAGGCCGGCGGTTCCGCTGCTGGGTGCATGGGCGTTACCTTGAGTTGCCGCGGCAGGGCCCAGGTGGAGGTGCCGTGGTGGAGGTAGTAGTGGGTCAGGTCGTACCCCACATAGCCCAGCAGCACGCCGCCAAACATCGCACAGCACGGCCCCAAGGGCAACACGGCGTAGAAGAGCGGCCAAAACTGCGCCAAACGACAGATGGCATGGGCGCCGCAATACAACAACGGATATAGGCTTGGGGAACTTGGGGCGGGCACTACAAGGGCAGGCCACATGGCGCTGTCCCAACAGGGGAGCACGATTGCGGAGGTAGAAGTTTCAAGCTGTGGGCGGGCGGCAGGCTGGCTTACCAGGGCGACGAAGATGAGGGTGAGCACCGGCGGAAAGACGAGTCGGTACGAGTCCATGGGGTGCTTGTGGTGCACGCCGTGCAGCAAAAAGTGCAGCGTGTTGAACCTGCAACGAACCAGCCGCTCAGCAGACCAGCAGCGCCACAGGCACCGAGCAAGAGGCGAAAGGGACAAAGCCGGCATGGGTGCACGGAGCGGGGTCGGCTGCAGGTATAGACACAGGCCACCGTGCGAGAAGCGTAGGGGGGACCACAGAAGTAGCTGGGCTCTCATGGAGGGCTTGTTCAATCTTAGTTTCGCACTTGCCAAAAGAGCAACCTTCTGAGATACTGGACCAGAACTTACCTCTGGCGAACTTAAGCCAACCGACCAGGAAGTCATCCATCTGGGAAGTGTTTTGGACGGAGGTTTACAATATCAGTCGGCTATGAGTATGCCTGCTGTAGCCTATTCTCGTAGACATCTCACCAGTGACGATAAAAATGCGCAGAAAGATAAGCCGAACGATCTTACCTCAGGCAACAATTACACGAGTACTCCTCAAAATTACAAAAAAGGCCCAAAAAAAGGGCCCGATACGCGAGACACCAAACGCCAAAATAGAATGTCTAGAAACTTGCACATGGCAGTCTGCAAAGAAGAGGTGCCAAGATGAGCTCTCCCAGCTCGTGGAGGGCAGCCGGCTTACCAGTAGCTGCTCGTTTTCTGGTGGAAGAGGAAGCGGTGGAGGGAGTACTCCAGGAGGGTCCACAGCAGCAGGCCCCCCGCAACGCACGCCGCGTGGGTGGGCAGGGCCAGCCCGGCGCGGTGCGCGGCCCGCTGCAGCGCAGCCACCACCGGGAGCCACACCGCGGGGATGGCCTGCCAGGGGGTGATGCTCAGGAACTGCGGCCAGGGGTGGCACTGTGCGTCAGCGGCAGCCAAAAGGGGTCCGCAGCAAACAGCAGATAGCAGACAAGATCGGCAGCAAGAGGTGCGGCCTGCGCGTACCAGGGATGTCCCCAGAGCAGCATGTGAGCGCACCTCCAGGATATGGCTGTGGAAGAAGCGGGGGTGGGCGCGGGACACGATGGGCTGGTGCACCCATGCGTCGTAGCGGGGGCCCAGGTGGCCCACCTGCAGCAGGGGGGAGCCACGCGGTGGGGTGGGGGGTGCAGGACAAGCAGGCGGCGCGCCGGTGCCTAAATGCAACCGGCACACCAAGGGGGCTAAAAGTAGCAAGGGTAAGATCGCAGCAGCCTGGATTCAAGATAGGACACCAAATCTGAAGACCTCAAGTAACTTGCTAGGGACCAAACGCTCTCCGCAGGGGCAGCGCCCGGGCACTTACTTGGAAGACCAGCGGCTTGCTGGGGTCCACCTGGAAGTCGGGCGCAGCGGGAGCAGCCTGGGGAGGGGGAGCACTGCACACACCAGGACTTTCAACTCTGAGCAGGCGCGACAAGTGCGGGTTTGCGACCAAAAGATGGACTTCCCCCGTACTGCCCTTGCCCTGACTCCCCCAGGATGCAGAGGGGCCGATGCTGCACTCTACCTACATGCACGCTGATGATTCCCAAAGGGTGGGCTCTTGACAGCTGGCAGGCAGGCACACGTCAGGGGAGGGCGTTTACCTGGGCTCCAGGCCTGCTTCGGAGAGCCGCCCAATGCAGTACTGTTCAAGGATCTCATATGCTGCCCTGCTGTGGGCATGCGCACCGCTGTCGTGGTGACTCGCCATCAATGGGGCCAGATCACTGCCCCCCATATGCTCCAGAAGGACCTGTGCCACAAACACAAGAGTTGCACTAATTATGACACGTGCAGGGCCTGAGCAGACCGCCTGCTGGGCTTGAGTGGCACTGAGATTGAAAGACTGGCGTAGGTGAGATGAGCTGGTAGCGGAGGCGTCTAGGCCATTAAGCATGTCAAGGAGCAAAACTCAGGAGTCAGATACACTTCTCTTCTCCAGCTCAATAATCACAATTATTCAGCTGTGTCTGCAACAGTAGCGACAGGAGGATAGGCAGCTGCTGACATTGAAGTATAACATCCCCGTTTGCATTTTGTTGCAAAGGTCACTCTGCTGGTTGAGGCCACTCCAGTTGAGGAAACACTTGAACAGGTTCCCATGGTAAGAATGACAGCCTCTACGAAGAACTGCAAGGCCGATTTGGAAAGCTGCTTCGGGCTTCTGGACTCTTAAAGAAAAAAGATGCAGCATGCAAGAAATCACAAGGGAATCGCATGTCTCAGAACTTGTTGAGCGAGCAGCATATCTGCGCAGCAAGTGCTTCAATGCCATCCAATGCTACCTCCAAACTGATCCCAGGGAGCAAGAGCAAGGGGTCGACACTCTTGAAAACCAACTAGCAGACCTAGAGAGAGTTCTGAATACTGTAAAACCAGATTCGGCATGGCCAGAATCAAGTGCTATCACTACAGTCACCGCTATAATCCCCAATGCGTGCTGCAAAAGTAGAGGCATGTGGACCTTGCTCCGCCTCACCTGTCTGCCTCCCGGATGTGCATCTAAGAATCCAGTGACATCATACACCTTGTTGTGCACCCGAACCCAAGCGTCAGCTTCTGAGGCGTGAAGACGTAATTCATCAACAGACATTACTGCCGCCTCATCAGCAGGATGCGAGCTGCCCTGGGGCTTCCTCAGAACAGATCTCGGCGACCGCAAATAAGAAGCCTCCGGCTCTGCAACCGCACAAGCCGCTGGTGCTCTTCCACTGCAGCTGGGATTGGCAGACAAGTGGCGGTCACATTCAGCATCTGTGTGCCACCCAGACTGGTGTGGCAGATCATGATCAAGAGACTTGACGGAGGAATGGCGATACGGCGACACCCTTTCCCACTGCTCCACTGCCATGACTGCTCTGGAATCAATGCAAGCGAGCAACGTCCGTTGGCTGCTTGAGTGGGCCTCCTGCACCAATTCAGGCGGGTCAAGGACCGTACAATGTCTCTATTGCGCTGGTTGGAGGGCAGCAGAAGCTCCGCCAGCTGCTTGCTTATCAAAGACTTAGTGTCAACAATGCTTCAGCACTGCCAAGCCTGCAGTCGCTCCAGGTGGTTTGCAGGAAGCTGGTCAATGCGCCTCTTCAAGCAGTCTTCACCATCTCCTCCACCTGCCAGGGCAACGCGGCGGCGGCCACCCACCGTGACAATTTGTGGAGCTGATGTTTACGTCACTACTTCTTCAGCCTCGTTGGAACGCCGTACGTTGGAACTTGGAACCCTAATTGGAAAATTAAGGGTGTCGGAAATTGGAACGCTCAGGAAGCTATATAAGCGCCCAAAAATCTACCATATCCTCATAGGCTACCTCGACGCATGGCGTTTCTAATTAATACTAGCGAGTTAGGTTGCG